GTAGAGATGAGGTCTCGCTGCCCAGGCGGGTCTTGAACCCACGGGCTCAGGCAATCCACTCACCTCAGCCTCCCAAAGGTGTGGGATTACAGGCTGAGCCACCGAGCCCGACAATTACCTAATTTTTAATAAATAAATTCTGGTTTCGGGTAGGTCTACCCTTGTAGTTACCTGACAGCATATAATTATCAAAACTCACTAAGCTATTTTCTAAAAATTGGTGAATTTTATTGTATATAAGTTATACCTCAAACTGATGACAAAAATCCTCTGTAATCATATTTTCTTAACTTAATTCTGTATAACTACTTTCTAGAAGTACAAAAGGAATGATTTCCTTAATATCCAACAAATTGATAGCTTGCCTACTATTTAAGATACTATACTAGAAGTTGATGACACAATAACAAAAAGAAGAGCTCATGGTTGGAGGGTAGGGCACAGGAGCAAGGGGAGGAGAACAGACAAGGGCTGGTACAGGATAAATGTCCAATAAATATTTGCTAAATGAATATTAATAAATAATTAACACAAGATAAAAATTAACAGTGACGCATACAGAGTTCTGTGGTTGCATGGAGAAAAGCAGCAGATAGATGACCCAGTTGACAATTAATTTTTCAGTTAAGAATGTTCTTACTGCTTCACTCCCAGGCAAAGCAAAGAATAACTGAAAAGACATGGAAAGATTTTCAAGAAAATAAGAATTGAAGGAACTGAAAAAGTAGTTAGAAATTTGATATGAAAAGGTTTTATACTCTCCACAAAATTTTCATCCTAACAAGTTATTAAGTCAAACAATTTTAGGCCAAAAAATATGACCTGACAATATGTGCCTCCTCTAGCAGCAGCAGAAGAAAAGAATTGGGGAAAAAAAGGAGAAAACTATAGGCAGAAGACCAATTTATGATGTTATCATAATAATCCATCTGTTCTTTTAATGACTAATAGGGCATCTCTATAAAATGTACAATGAACTCAGGCAGATGTTATAAAAATTCAGTAAGTACTCTGTCTTGTCTACTACATATGAACAAATTTTTATACCAGCTTTCTTTTTGCTTGGAAATTTTTTAAAAATCATCTTTCAAAGCCTAAATGAAATGCCATTTATAGAAAAATCTTCCTTCATTTCTTCTTTAAAGAATCCATCCTTACCTCCTCTGGGCTTTCATAGTCATTTGTTTATTACATTAAGCTAGGTAAATCTATCTCCCCACTAAATTGTGAAGACTAAAGTCAAAGGACTTTACACCAAATACTAATAATGGCAACCTAGAAAATAGCAGCTATCATTAAATGAGTATCTCCTAAATGCTAATCATTTTATTAAACATTTTAAGTACATTTTCTCTAATAATCACAATAATGTTCTTTTCAAGAAAAGCAAATTGGGAGTCAGGTCAAGTAGCTTGCTCAAAGTCACACAGGTAATAAAGAGTAAGGCTTGGATTCAAAGGCAGATTTGCCAGATTCTTCACAATCAGTTTGCCATACTTCTTAGCAAACTGTACCATTCTAGTACAGACATAATGAATATTTGTTTAAATAAACTTGGTTGAAATTAACTCTGCTACAAAAAAGAGATATTAGCTATGTATATTAACTTAATTCGATTATATGTCAAGGAAAAGCCTTCTTATATATATTATTGAGGAGTAACAGCAATATTATACAGCAATTTGCTTGCATTTTTTCCAGATGATCTAAAAAATAAATAAATAAATCTGAAAAATAAAAAAAAAGAAGAGGGTAAACTGAGAGGAAAGGACAAAGTACTCTGGGAACGAACAGAATCAGGAAAAGTCACTGTAAAAAAATGAACATGACAGAAACTATACTTTGGGGAAGATTAAGCAATTTATGGGTACAATGTCACTTATACAAAATGGAATGGGAATCTCCATAGAATAGATTGGGGGTAAGTACAAGATCAGAGGGAAAAAGATCAATTGACAGTCCACAGAATTGTTATGGGATAGGAATTAAAGGTACTCATCCTTTAGAGAAAAATGAAGCTTCTGTATACACAGACTTCAATCCTATAACAAAAATCCACACTGGGTAGAAGATTGCATCTTTCAGTAGGAGGCACCTAAGGCAGTGAGGAAAGCAAAGGAAAAAGGACCTACCAAACCCTAATAAGAGTAGCAATGGCAGTTTTCAGTTCCTTATGAGGTTAATAATGAGTAAGAGCTGTATGTGATGACAATGGAGTATGGGGTTGAGACGCACTAAGAACTGGGAAAAGGGTAAAAAGGGAGTTTGGAGCCAATCTGGAATGCTTTGAAATAGAATGAATTTGGAGGTTTTACAGGACAAGTAGGAAACCTATGATAAATAGTAGAGTTTTGGGCAGAATGATCCTTGGTTTAAGAAACACATATTGGCCCGGCGCTGTGGCTCAAGCCTGCAATCCCAGCACTTTGGGAGCCAGAGGTGAGGGGATTGCCTGAGCCGTGGGCTCAAGAACAGCCTGGGCAGCATGGTGAGACCTCATCTCTACAATAAAAATTTTTTTTAAATTAGCCAGGTGTGGTTGCCCGCGCCTGTAGTTCCAGTTACTTGGAAGGCTGAGGCAGAAGGATTGCCTGAGCCCAGCAGGCTGACGGTGGAGTGGCTGTTGAGTGTGCCACTGCATTCCAGCCTGGGGGGACAAAGTGAGACTCCAACTCAAAAAAAACACACATATTTTGTGTTTGATTTTCTATAACTCAAGGGCAGAATTAAAGCCTCCTTTGGGTAGCCATGTGTTTGACAAAAAATATGAGATTAGCATTCCACCCAGCACTAGGGGAAAGGATGTCAGGGACCTGGGATAGAGCAAACAGGATATGGTTATAGAACACTTAGTTGGGAGGCAGATGGAGTCTCAGGAAACCATGATGCAGAGTAGATAAAGAGAACGTCAAAAGCTTCAGAAAGTTGAGACAGTGACTTATTTCCAGATGATGCTGGAATTCTCACATCCTCACACATGGTGGCCTGAAAGAGATGGAACTTAAAGAGTTTTAGGGTGTGAATACTGGACAGATAACAATGTTTGACTTTTGCTCTTTTTAGATGTCATAGTTGCATCTCAGAAAAACTATGGGTTGGAATTGGGAGATTTAAATTTGAAAGTTAAAAGTGAGAGTGGTTAAGTAACCAACAATGGAAACAGGCAAGCAGGAATAAATAAAGAAAAGGCAATAAAATAGAGAAGTAGCCAAAAAAGAAGAAAAATGGTGATAACAGATTAACAGAGGCTGAGGAGAACAGTTTCAAAAAGTATAACATCTAGTGTTCAGTAGTATAATAGGGCAACTATAGTTAACAGTAATTTCTTATATATTTTAAAATAACTAGAAGAGTAGATTTGGAATGTTCCCAACACAAAGAAATGTAAATGGAGGTGATAAATAGCCCCACTACCCAGATTTTTTTTTTTTTTGACTTAGGGTCTTAGGCTTGTCGCCCAGGTTTGAGTGCAGTGGCACGCAGCCTTGACCTGCTAGGCTTAGGCGATCCTTCCACCTCAGCCTTTCAAGTAGCTGGAACTACAGGCGCATGCCACTGCGCTCAGCTATTTTTTGTGATTTATTGTAGAGATGAGGTCTCACCAAGTTGCTCAGGCTGATCTTGAAGCCCTGGGCTCAGGTAATCCTCTTGTCTTGGCCTCCCAAAGTGTTAGGATTACAGGCTGAGGCACTGCGCCTGGCCCATTGCCCAGATTTGATCATTACACATTGCATGCTTGTATCAAAATATCACATGTCCCCCATAAATATGTACAATTATTCTCTATCCATAAATCTACTTCACGTGGCTGCTGGGAAAATTAAACAAATTTTAAAAAGTGACAACAATGTCAAATACTCTAAGAAAGAATAGAGAAGAATGAAAAAAGTGAATACATCTAACAATAAGCACATAACAGATCATCTTTAAAGGGGCAGTATTAGTTAGTAGGTAGGGATGATACTCAAATTAAAGGGTAAAGAAATGAATCAAATAAAACTAGTGACAAACACTTTTTACAAATGCTACTAATAAAAGGAGAAGATATAAGGGAAATGGTAAGGACAAATCCTCTCTCCTCCAAAACAAAGCAAAAAAAAAACCCCAAACCTGAAAATGTTTGTAAACAGAAGGAACCAGATAGAGATAAAGATGCAAGTTAACTGAAAGAGGTTATGGTGAATTGGAGGAGATGAGAGATAAGGTTGACTTTGGAGAAGTAGGGCATGTTTGATTTCTGGAAATAATGTCTGGATGAAGGTAACAGGAAAAATATTTGAGGTTGAAAAGAGTTAATTTTAGGAAAAACAAAAAGGATAACCTCCAGTTGAGTAATTAGTAGACCAGGTTAACAACTGATAAACTCAAATAAAATCTTTAGGGTACAGAAAAAAGATTAAACACATTATAGGTTAAAATAAAGAGGTCAGTGAAAGAGAAAAGGATAGGACCCAATCAAATTTGAGTATAAAGTCGGAGTTGATTGAATCAAGCACTGTTTGGTAGTCTCAAAGTAAGGACAGAGAAAGAAAGTTCAAAAGGGGAAGAGTTTCAAACCTTACCTTGGCCTTTATGCCAGGTAAGTATACCTAAAGGTGTAAAGGATTCTAGGACAAAAACAAAGTTGCAATTAAAAAACGATAACCCAGAGAGTGAGGTTGACTACAAAGTTGGATGATGCTGCTAGACTAAAGGAGAAAAACCCTGAACATCATGGGGTAATGGGAATTCAAAAGGAATAATTCATGTATAGGATTAGATTTAAATGGTACTGTGGTTTAAAAAAAAAAAAAGGGGGTTCAAGAGCTGAAAAGCTAATGTGAAATGTACTAAGGAAATCATGGTACCATGAGGTCAGGGAGAAAAAACTGTGAGAGAAGTGCTAAAGCAACCAAGAAAGGTAGGAAAATCCTTGAAAGCAGTAGCTGATAATGACCAGAAAGTAGTATAGAAGTTATAACATGATCTGCAAGAAATTCACTTATATTTGTACATGAATTCTATTTTTTTTTAAATGGAACAACCTCACTTTGAATAAGCAAGCTATGAGGTTTACATCTAATTAACTTTTGCTTGGTTTTTAAAAATCCATTCTGAAAGAATAAAGTATTCCCCCACTCATGAGATCCAAAAAAATGAAACGTGGGCTCTGAAGGCTTTCTCTTGTATAGTGTAAATGGTAAGCACTCCAATAATCTAAGTTGAATGAATCAGTGAAAAAGAATTCCAAAAGTGGTATCATTACTGGAATAGTATCTCATTTTCACTGAATGAATGCTAGTATAGATGGTCTGATAGATGGATGGATAAACAGACAGATGAAATACAAAGAAAGACAGAGAGAGAAATAAACCCAATAAAGTTCCTAACATCATTGAAAATTCTAAAGTCTCTCAAAGTAACTGTTTTAAAGAGTCATAAGATTACATGTATTTATTTAGTAAATATATTTAAAACATTTAAAATTATGTTTGAAAAATTCCATTTTTGAAACACCTATAAGGAAAAAAGTCCCAGAGAAAAACTGTTTCCCTAGCAAGCTTATCCTATTTCATTAATTTAACTGTTTTTACTATTTTAGTCCAGTAATTTCTTGAGTAGAAAACAGGACCAGGCAATATCCTAGAAATTCCTTATTGTTAGACTTTTTTTTAACTCGTTGAAAAGAAAAACGGCTTCTAATAGGGTAACTCTTTTTTAAAACAAAAACTTACTGAACTATAATTTTAATTAGTAATTTACATGTTTACTCATCTTACCTCATCATATGATTTACATAGGCTTTACTACAACTAGTGTTGTATCTGCAAAAACTACAGTGGACGTATGTAGGAAAGTGGTTTGTAAAATCTTTTATTTCGGAACAACACTCAATGCATCTGTGAACACCCCGACGATACCTTATGGAGACATAAAAAAATAGATTTTAAAACAAAAATAACATGTGAGAGCCTTATTATGTTCTGTTAACTAAAGTATAAAGTTTTTATATTCAGTTTAAATTAGTATTGTATATCAGGAATAAAAGATTACCTTAAATTCCTCAATGCTGTATTGACTTTACTTTTTTTATTGCTACTAGTCAATGTACTTTGCTTCTTTTGCATATTAGAGATTTTTGATTTGTATTTAGATTTACTTCCATTAGGCTTACTTGCATTAGGTTTACTTGCATTGGATTTGGTTGTATTAGGTTTATTTATATTAGATTTTGTGGAATTTTTAGCAGCTATAGTTTTAGTCCTTGGAGGTGAGAGCTGAAGGGTAGATGCGCTGGCACTAATGGAAGGTGTAGGTGAAGATCCTGATTGAAGCGGTCCAACTGAAGCTCGAATAGTAACCTACAAAAATGAAAAATATACTTTTAAAAAATTAATCATTATATTAATATTAAAATATCACTGTGTAACAAAATAGTTAAACATCAAGTATTTTGAAAAGAGTACGTATAAATTATAATCAGGTAAGTCTTCCATTTATTCCAAATGTTTCAAGTCAATTAAATGATATTAAACTTGATATTTATTCACTTGTAATATTACATTTTTGTATTGATATCAGTTATGTTAACACAGTTATTAATAGATAATTAGGAGTTAATGCAAATTATATGACTATCAAAATAGCACATCTCATAGCTATTTTAATGCTCTGACATAACTTTTAAAAAATTTACAAACATAGAGCTCAAAATTTAAATCTCAAGGTCTGAAAAATAACTCTAGAAAGGCCCACATTACCCTGTGACAACTATAAAACAATAGATCTACATAAATGTGATTGCTTCTTTCCAGGGGCTCATTGCCCAGGATTTATGCTTATAAATGTTCTGGGAAAAGTTACATTAAATCATTATACAGCATGGAGAGCTTAATAATATTTAGAATTTTCTTAAGTGGAACTAACATAAATTTTATCATTTAGCATTCGAAATGAGAAAATTTTCAATTACAGCTGTTGGTTGACAATGGAAAACACAACTGCCTACCAACATTCTCATTAATAATTCAAATCTAATCTTCCCATGAATTTGAAGAACAGCCTAGAAGGAAATCCTATGACACACATGTGCTTGGGTATCATGTAAAAGCACTGGACCAGGAATCAAAAGACCCTCCTAGCCATGTGACCTTGAATAAGTAACTTATCCTCTATAAGCCTCTTCACACCTATAATACCAGGCAGAATCTTCCTTGCTAACCTCACTGAATTATTGTATTAATTAAATAATATAATATATGAAAAAGTTCATTGAAAGTCTAATTCTAAGGTGCTATAAAAAACATTTAGTATTATTATAATTAATATTATTATTATTAATAAGGGAAGAAATGAGAGAGGACTGCACTGCTTACATTAGTGTTGTGCATGTCTAGTCCCAGCATGAAATGAATGGATTGCAGGGAAGGATGCTGGATAGCTTCTCTTGCTCTAGGTCTTCAGAGCATGGCTTTATATTGTTTTAGTTAATTCAAATAACAGACATACCCACATTCAAAGGTAAGTACCCAAAGCCAAAAATAAGTGTTTGGGGGATTATTTCACTTTGGATTATCCATGCCTCTGTTTCCCTCCACTGGAGCAAATATTCAAGAGCTAACTGTATATAAAGAAGTCAGAGAAAACAGATGTATATAAGGCAAAAAGGGAAAAGGAAATTACAGTCATCAGTATGCAGTCAGATATGTGTTTGCTCACTTAAAACACAATGCTATCCAGCAGCAGAACTTGCTTCTCTGAGAGTAGTCTCAGTAATAACAACTTCAACAAACATCTGAGAACCTACGGCATTCAAGGAGCTACACTAGATGCTGGGGACACAAACATAAATAAAACATGATTCCTGATCTCAAGCATCTTATAATTTAGTAGCCAAAAATCAACATACATACTGCCAACTGGAATAGCTCAAGAATTGCCTATATAATATCGAAACCCATTGATCCAAGTATAATCAAGTCACACTTCTTAAAAAGGAATACCACTCTAACATAACAAGCTTCACTGAATCCAAAACAATGATTAGGATTTTTTCTAAGCATAATAATAAAGTCATTTTTAAAAATATCATATTTCTATTATCATACAAAGTGTTAAAAAATACAACATATTTTAACTCACTTTTGTTCCAGGAGGCAATCCTTCTAGTTGTTTGGGTTTTATAAATGTTCGATGATGCTGAGTCTTGTGATCCATTTTCTCCTTGCATGTCAAAAACTGTAGTCTGCATTTTGTACAACGATGTACTCCCTTTTTCTGTTTAGAAAAAAGGGGGGGAAATAATTTATACAACCATAAATACTGTGTTCTGAAACTGCTCTAACTTAAATTTAATGATACCTAAATAATGTTAAAACTAACAGCTTATTATCTCCGATCATAACACCACAATCTCATTTCATTTTTAAAATCATTGCTTATATTAGTTTTGAACTTCAAAAGTATCTGTGATAATATAAAAACTGAACATGAAAGTTCTATCAATGGGTCCTCTCATGAAAATTCTACTAATTGTGATATGAAAGCTCTTTTCATAATTAGCCTAAAGTATTTAAACACATGATACTATGAAAATGAGATATACTATGCTTTATCCTAGAAAAAGTAGATTATTTTTCATTTTTGCTATTTCTAGTTGTTTGACAAGTTGGTAAAATAAATTAAACTCTCTAGAACCTATTAAATCAAACCAGACATTTCAAATAAGGTTATGTTGTAGAAATGGTTGTATAAACCAGTGCTGCCCAATAAAACTTTCTGCAATAATGAAATGTTCTTAAGCAGTACTGTCCAACACAGCCACCTGTAGTTACTGAGCACCTGAAATACGGGTAGTGTGACTGAAGAACTAAATGTTTAATTTTATTTAATTTTTAATTCATTTAAATCTAAACAGCCACATGTGACTAGTGGCTACTACACTGGACAGTGAAGATACAGCAGCATAAAACAGAATAACTGATCTTACTGGATGAGAATCCCTTGATTGAGTCTCTCCTCAACCTCAATCCTGTTACTTTTCTACAGATGGGAAATAGAACCCAAGAAAAATCTAAGCCACTTCCCCCATAGCTAGTTAGTGACATTGCCATTGCCAGATTCCTGATCCAGTATTTTCTCTTCTATATGATATCAGCTGTAACCTTCACCTCATTAATATAAAAATATATTTTATATAATATGTATATATACCTATATCAATTTAAAACCATATATAACTGCAAAGGAATGTTTTCTCTAAAGCTGTATCTCTGCAGGAAACATCACTATTTCCACTTAAATACAACAAATTATCTATAAAATTCAAATGAGGTAACATATAGGGAAGTACCCAGCACAGTTACTGGCACACAGCAAGCATCTCATTTTAAAAACTTCTTTACAGAGTTCAAAGCAATATATAAATATAACAGGACAGGAAGAAAGTTCACCAGAGTTCAGTTCCCAGAAATCTTTTCTCTATCTAAAAATCACTCCCTAGATTACATCTTTCAGTTTCATGGTTTTAAATACTATCCATCCAACTGTCTACTTGACATTACTACTTGATGTCTAATATGCTTCTCAAATCAATATGAACAAAATTTATCTTGCGATTTCCTCCTTATCTCCCTATCTACCTCCTCCAAAAAAGTCTGTTCTTTCCTTAGTCTTCCCCATATCTCAGTATTTGAAAACCATTCTTGCAGCTGCTCAGGACAAAAAACTCAGCCTCTCTCTTATATCCCACATCCAGCACACTAATAAAACATGTCAGCTCTACCTTCAAAAACATTCATATTCTTTCTACTTCTCATTATTGCTACCATACTGAGCCAAGCCACCACAGGACTACTGTAATAATCTTCCATCTTCTCCTTCTCATGTCCTTTCCTCCTTATGGTCTATTCTTCCCAAAACTGCCATAATCTTAAAAACACAGTAGATCTTTCACATGCTCAAAATCTTTCAGTGGTTTTCCGAAGTCCTGGCTGTGGTATACAAGGTTCCATATGAATTGACCTGGATTCTATTGCTATAACCTCATCTCCTACTATTCTTCCTCCTGTTAATTTACTCTGCTCCAGGCACACTGGCCTCCTTGCTGTTTTGTGGGCATCCCAAATACACACTCATTCACTACCTAATGACCTCTCCCAGATAATGCACATGGCTTACTCCTTTATATTCTTCAGAAAGGCCCTTGTGACCACCCTGTATACAAAATAGCAACCACTCCTCCACTTCTACCACCTTCCAATCCTGGGTGTTCCTTATCGCCCACATTTTCCTTCCACAGTACTTATCACCAGCATATACTTTCAAACACACACAAATTTATTGTCTTTTTCTACTATAATGTAAATTCCAGATGGCACAAACTTTGTTTTGTTCACTGTTATACAATATCTAAAACAGCCCCTGAACATAGTAGGGCGTTCAATAAATATTTCTTAAATAAATGAATAGTGAGAAAGAAAGCAAGAGACTAACAGAGAAAATGCATATAAGCAGTGGGTACAATTTAACTAGTTCAAAATACCATTCCATTCAATGAATATTTGTCCAGAGTACTAGGACAGAATACATTAATCTATTATTTATTATGTTATTATGTGGTGAATGTATTAATCTACTATTCCCTCAGCTCAACTCAAGTCTTACACATCTCTGTTATGTATGAATGTATTTCAGTGCACTAAGGGTGATGAAGAGTACATTTTTTTTTTTTTGAGTTGGAGTCTCACTCTGTCTGTCGCCCAGACTGGAGTGCAGTGGCCGCTCCCGGCCACGGCAGCCTCGACCTGCTGGGATCCAGCGATCCTTCCGCCTCAGCCTTCCGAGTGGCCGGAATTACAGGCGCACGCTACCACGCCCGGCTAATTTTTTTTTTTTATTTATTGTAGAGATGAGGTCTCACCTGCCCAGGCAGGTCTCGAACCCGCGGGCTCAGGCAATCCACTCACCTCAGCCTCCCAAAGGCGCGGGATTACAGGCTGAGCCACCGAGCCCGGCTCAATTTTTTTTTTTTTTTTGAGTCAGTGTCTCACTCTGTCGCCCAGACTGGAGTGCAGTGGCCGCTCTCGGCCTCCGCAGCCTCGACCTGCTGGGCTCCGGCGATCCTTCCGCCTCAGCCTTCCAAGTAGCTGGAACTTCAGGTGCGCACTACCACGCCCCGCTAATTTTTTGATTTACTGTAGAGATGAGGTCTCGTCAAGTTGCCCAGGTGGGTCTCGAACCCACGGGCTCAAGCAGAAGAGTACATATTTTCATAATATTATATTCAGCCAAAAAAACAGTGATCTATTCCAAGTATACAGAAATAACAACCTGTATAAAATTTTTTTTATAGGTATACTATATTATTTGTGAGGTTTGAGGGATTTAAAGGTAATTCTTACTATATGTAATTTCTACCTTTAGACCTAATGCCAATATGAAATCCAGCTTCATAATAGAGCAGTAAAAGCTTGGGCTCTGAAGTCAAATTTTGACTCTGCTCTTTATTAGACAATGTGACATTAGGCAAGTTACTTTCTCTAAATTCTGTTTCCTCATCTTTAAAATAAAAACACTAAAATATGTATGATAGTTGAGGCTTAAACAAGATAATGTATGTAAAGCACCAGTTGGTGCCATAAGGTAGGTGATTATATATGTTAACTGCTTGTTTTATTAAAGCTCTAATGAGCATATTTAACATATCTAAAATTGCTTTCATTATTTCTTAAAAGTCATACAATCTGAGTTGTTAGTTCTAAAAGCATCCAAGAAACGATAATATAACCTTAAAAAAAAAAAGTTTCAACCAAGGTCTTCAAAGACAATAAAATGAGGCATAGAGTCAACAATTCTTATTGTCTAATGCTGCACTAATAATGTCACCTCAATTAAAAGCTTATAATGCCACTCAGCTATGGTTTTCCAATCTCTTGTAAATAATTATACAATTTATAAATACCTTAGAGGATGCTTGCTAGTCCTTACTAATAGACTGTCCCCTCTCTACTGCTGACTATCTACCTCCACGGTACTCCAAACAAAAATAAAAACTGAGCCCCCATGGCAAGTTAAAATATATGATGCAGGGTAGAAAGACTTGATTATAAATCACATAGCTCTCACAGTGGGCCCACAAACCTCTATCACATTTATCATTCTTCTCACATCTGCATTTCACTCTATAACTTAGTAAAGCATTTGGGAAAGATAATGAAATAACACCTACTGTTTTATAGTTCATTCTCCTTTTCAAAATTAAAGTCCAAAGACAAAATGTAAAGTACTGAGAATAGTGTTTCCCAAACTCTCTTCACCAAGAAATGTTAATAGGTATTGTACAAATAAAGTGTTCAACAGTCAAATAAATTTGGGTACTGATACTATACTATATCCTCTGCTTGGAGATTTACAATATCCATTAGCACATTAAAAGCTGAGAGAAGTTCTGTTTGTTTGGGTTTTTTATGAGTCAGAGTGTCACTCTGTCGCCCAGGCTGGAATGCAGTGGCATGCTCATGGCCACCACAGCCCTGACCTGCTGAGTTCAGGCAATCCTTCTACCTCAGCCTTCCAAATACCTGGAATTACAGGTATGCGCCACCACACCCGGCTAATTTTATGATTTATTGTAGAGACGAGGTCTTGCCATGTTGCTCAGGTTGGTCTCGAACCCCTGAGCTCAGATAATCCTCTTGCCTCCACCCCACAAAGTGCTAGAATTATACACGTGAGCACCTCGCCCAGCTAGAAATCCTGTTTTAAAAAACAAATTTGCCAAATTTATTTACCTGTGACAATTTTGGGAAACACACCTATTAATAACCTGATGGAACACTGTTGGAGAAACCCTAGAATAGAAGATCTTGCCAGAACTTCTCAAGGAGGAGTAGCATCTCAATTATAACACAGGTGATTTCAAGTTATTTGGAAATTCTTTTATGATCTTCCTCAGCTAAAAACTGCAAGTCAACTTCATGTTATTATGTGGTGAATGTATTAATCTACTATGACTTATGACTGAAACTGACAATAAAGTGAGCATCAATGCTGAATGAATTGGTGTGCCAATCTGATCTATAATAAGAGAATGTAATGAGCTTTTTAGTGAGTTAGCAAAATCTGATTTTGGCAAAGGTATTGTTCTTTCAAGCACTCAAGAACAGGATTACTGTTGTGTCACAATTTTTATCCCAAATGAAGGATGATATGCAATTAAAAAGTAATAATGATGGATCATTTGTTAGGAGAACATCATGTACTACTAATCTAGCTCTGATGTCTATATAAACAAGAGTCCCACTAATGCAAATTCCAAAAGATAATCTTTGAGACATAAAAGTCATCCTTCAAAGTTAAAGGATGCTTTCTAAAACATAACTAGATTATCCTTATCCGATCGTTTTTTCTATAACCTCCTGTCTTGACTTGAATAGTCAAGCTCTGACACCCTCTGCCCTACAAAATGTTTTTTAATTGCTTCAGGAAAAGTACCAATAGGCATTACATCAGAATTAAAGGGAAGGATACAAGTACTAATACTGGGTCCCAAAAATTATATAGCAGAACTGGTAGAAGTCTTTAAGGAAACAAGTTATGAAACAAATATAGTTTTCTGGCAGATTTCATTTATCAACCATTAAGTGTTATTACTGTCTCCATCATCACATGGCTATAAAAAACCATTTTGGGTCAATGATAACATGTCTTCTCATAATAACTAGAGAATTAGAAAGTAGAAATAAAGTTTGAAAAGAAAAGGAAAACAAGATTATAAGTCCCTGATCGTTTCTTTTTCAGTTCAAATTCATTTTTCTCCCTTGTCCTGATAATTCTCTTCAAAGTAATTTCCATAGATTATTAGATCTGAAATATCTCTTAGGCCCTGAAATATCCAATCTTTTAGATATTCCATTCACCTTCTCTTTTTTCTCTCAAACCTATACTTCCTATTTCTAGCTCTCTTTCAGAATTTTCATTATTTATGAGTCAAACCATCACCAGAAAGAAAAAGGGGAAGTTTCACAAATGATTCAACATAAAGTATAAATTAATTGTGTTATTTGAAACAACTTTGCTTTCCTTGTAGAACAAATCTAATCAATGCTCTAAGTCATAATCAGTCTTTTCAATAAGTCAACATGAACAAATAAGAAATGGTAAATCTCACCTGATGCTTCATATAATGATGCATATAGGGTGTTGCAATTTTAATAACTTTGAGGCAAAATGGACATAACAAGTTCTTAGTATTTTCATGAGATGTTCTAAAATGAGTTTCTACATCAGAAAATGATGAAGATCTGTAATTGCAAACCTAGAAATAGGAAAACAGCTTAGTTTAACATGAAAATTTATAACTGATAATGCAATTAAAAAGTAACAATGATGGATCATTTATTAGGAGAACATCATGTACTACTAATCTAGCTCTAATACCTATACAAACAAGAATTCCACTAATGCAAATTCCAAAAGATAATCTTTGAGACAAAAAAGTTATCTCTCAAAGTTAAGGATGCTTCCCAAATCATAACTAGATTATCTTTATCAGATCGTTTTATCTATAACCTGCTGTCTTGTCTTGAATTTTCAAGCTCTGGCACCCCCTGGCCTACAAAATGCTTTTTTCTGCTACATAAAACAGCATTCCCCTTTAGACTGTAAATGGCCTGCAGGTTTATGGCAATGGCAATCTATCTTTTGTATGCTTTCCTAGTCCTTCAAATTCTGAAAAATACTTAACCTCAAAGCATTTGTAAGGGATTTTGTAACAGCATTTTCTATTTCCCTTGTCTGCTTACATCCTCCCCATATAGTATAATAAGTCCATATGTTTGTCTTTCTCCAACAGGGCTCTTTGTCCCGTATGGAAGTGGGCAAGCAAGAGCCTATGGACCAAATCCAACTTGCTGACTACCCCTCATGTAATGCATAAGTTATGCCAAGAGACTTTCCACAAGTAAATTATTTATAAGAAGGACTTAAATTTTAGTAACAGATTTATCTAAATGGCTAAAAAATAAAGGGCTAATATAGTCCGTTCAAATTTCAGCAACCATAAATAAAACTTTATTGGAGCACAAACACACCTGTTCAATCACTTACTGTCTGCAGCTGCCTTTGTGCACAACGGCAGGGTCATTTAGTTGCAACAGAGACCCTATAACCCTCAAATTCTGAAATATTTACTATCTGACCATTTACGGAAAAAAATGTTCTGACCCTTGGTCTAATAGGCTTAAATCTTATCACCAAAACAACAAACAAACCAAACATTTAAGAAAACAATAAAACTAGTGTGTACCTGGCAGATATATGGCATCTCACCAGGTTTATGATTGTCCTTCATATGTTGTAAAAGAACATGTTCTGTTTCAAATGATAATTCACAGATTTTACAAATGGCTAAAAGTGAGAGAAAAAAGGTATTACAATATTTTAAGATATAAATACAAAGCATCCATTTTATTCTTCTATATACCAACAACAATAATAGTAGTAGTGGTGGTGGTGAACAGTTAAAGAGATTGTTAACTCTGTGCCAAGAGTAGGTCTAAGCATTTAACCTACATTAACTCACTTAATTCCTCTACCAATACTATAAGGAAGGCAATTCTATTATCCTCATTATTCAAGTATTAAGGAACGTGGCAAAATCATATGGCTATATTAAGAGGCAGATATGAGATCTGAATCCAGCCTATCTCGTCCCAGAATCTGTGATTTTTAACTGTAACTCTAGTTCCTTCCCTTATTGAAATTTAAATGAAAGGCACTGATTTCATATTTGAAAACCATGATCCAAAGTTCCTAATTTAATTCCCCACATCTAATGCACAGTTTATGCCAAGGCAGTTACCATCATGAACTATTTGCAAGAGGAATTTTAATCTTATAACTAATCTTATTTAAATGTTTATAAAAGTTAAAACTTAACTTTTTCAATTTTGTCTTCAAATTCCAAAGTCTATTTCTTATTCTTAGTTTTCTAACTGACTTCTTAAGATTTTCTCACAGTTTACAGAATCAATATTAGTAATATTCAATATTTAAGTACAATTGTAACTTACTAGAAAATTCATGGGGAGTATGTGTACTTTCAATGTGACACTGCAGCTGAAATGGTGTGGGAAACTGACGGTAGCAGTGCTGACAGGTGGTGTGGTTTTCCCAGCTCTCACTGCTCTGCTTCTCAAGTTCCAAATGGTGTTTCATGTGGTTCATAAACCTATAAATGATTGTCACCAGGTACAAAATTCAAATTTAAAAAATTAGGAAATCTCACAAAAACATATCTGAACCTAAATCTTAAAAATATAGATGTATTACTCAAAATAAAATCTCAAGGTCTTAAAGGAAAGTATGTACTTTAAATAATCACTTTCTTAAAGTTGCTAAATAAGCATCTCTTTATCTTTGTTTTAAAATAATTCATTAATGTAATTAATCTGAAATATCACTAATTTGATATAACTCTTAGTTGTTACTTCATGTTTAGTTTTTTTTTTTTTTAGATAAAACGGCAGGCTTTTTTTCCATATCTGAAATACTATTAACATTTTAGAATAAAATACTGAAAGGAAGATATCCCACCACCAAAGCAGCTACAGAGTCATGAGAGAAATCTTTAAAGGCCTTGAAGATATACAACAGATTCTAGTTGCTTAAAAGACAAATTACTGGTATTTTTTACTTGTGTCTTGGTTTCTAAATGCATGTAATAGCAATTTTAATGCCTACAATTACAAGAACCTTTTGTTTTATTTAATGATACTGGTTTACTGTTAGCATAGACTATTCATTTTAACTTGCAGACTGTGCCCTTTGTAGGCAAGGTCCATTTTTCAGTTTTACATTCTGCGATTTCAGCTTCCCTAAAAGGCTTCTTATGAGCAGGAACTATGACCTTTGATGGTAGAAAATGCAATATAAATAGGAATACCTATTTAAAAGAGCTTACTGAAGCTTTTTGCTGAGTTTGAGAGTAAAGTTATTCCATCAAAACAACAATTTTTAGACTAGGTCAACTATTAACAATTATTCACTTTGAGTCCCTAAAAGAAATAATCTTGAAACTAGGTGATAATGTCATCAATTTGGATAACAATCATCATGAAAGTTAAAATGTATGTCTCACACATTTACAAGGGTACTTCTCTTCAGAGGGAGTTCTGGTATACCTTGAAATATTTTTATTTTATTTATTTTATTTTATTTTTTTTAATTTTTTTTTTTTTTTGAGTTGGAGTCCCACTCGGTCGCCCAGACTGGAGTGCAGTGGCCACTCCCTGGGCTCCGGTGATTCTTCTGCCTCAGCCTTCTGAGTAGCCAGAATTACAGGCACGCGCTACCACGCCCGGCTGATTTTGATTTATTGTAGAGATGAGGTCTCGCTGCCCAGGCGGGTCTCGAACCCGCGGGCTCAGGCAATCCACTCACCTCAGCCTCCCAAAGGCGCGGGATTACAGGCTGAGCCACCGAGCCCGGCTCTTTGAAATATTTTTAATCCTTCGGTTTTAACGTCAGCTCTACACACACCTATAGAAAATCCTAGTCTTGGTTAAATATTTACATATAGAGTAATGAGCCATTAAACTTTCAGTACTTAAAGACTATCAATATAAAATAATCCCTTAACTAGTTAGCTTTTCCTCTATTATATAAGCCCCCATCAGAAGCTCATACTTCTCAAACCAATTGATGGAAATAAGATAAACAAAAAAAGCAAGGAAAAAGCAATTTTTGCAAGGATGTTCATAGACCAAAATAAATCTAACTATTTTTAGTGACACTTAAAGTAGGGAAAAAAAATATCATATACTACAATATGTTGACAGGACAGAGAGTAGAAATGTTGAGTCATCAATTTCTTACCATTCTCTAAAAATATCAAGTGGCCTTCCTGGTTTTTACTGTTACAGTAAATATTATATAATACATCAAACTTCTTTGGTCATGAGGTGCTTACCATTAAGGTTGTATTTACTAAATATTTTTTAAATGCTCATTTCCTGGACATTATCAAATACAATTTGTTCAAAATTTCCAAATAGTCTGATAATCTAGACATATGTAACTGTCTTCAGAAACAGTAACAAAAAAAGATATTTTTCATTTTCATATTTGATATTAAGTGGGCTAATCTTAAAGGAAAAGCAAAAAAGAATGACTGAATAATGTAATACCATACTTAAGTATAACAGAGAACTATTTTACCATATTTACCAACATATTAAAATGATAAAAATATGGAAATAGGTAGTAAAGTTCTATTGCCGCACTGTTTCAATATTATAACTCAAAGTACAACTTCCTACTACTACACTACTAGTAGGTTTAAATACTAGGACCATTAACTATTGAAGGCTCTTAAAGCTTGATAAAAAGAAAGAAACAAGAAAACTCATAGAAAATAAGATATGTGAAAGAACTTTGAAAACTATAAAGCACTACCATAAGTAAACCACTAATAATTGTTAAAGGGATACATCATAGTGTATTTCAGGGTTATTCTATATGCTTCTTTTTGAACTCAAGAACTCAGGAAAATAAATAAATGCTGGGCTCAGAAGTAACTACAGGTGCTTTAAAATGCTAGTTACAGATGATAGTTACCAAGAATAAACATAAAAAGGCAAACATACATGTTTGTATAAACATGCACATATACACTGTAACTTACACTGAAATGCATCAAAAAAATCATATAGTTTGAAGGAAGGATGAAGAGATATATGATAAAGCAAGGAAGTAAAATGTTTAATGGTAGAATCAATGTGTTTATGTGTCCCATGCAAAATTTTCAAAACACTGCTGAATATTTGAAAACAAAAAAATTTTTTTTGAGTTGGAGTCTCACTCCTCACCCAAGCTGGAGCGCAGCAGCACACTCATGGCCGCCCCAGCAACGACCGGCTGGGTTCAGGTAATCCTTCCACCTCAGCCTTCCAAGTAGCCAGAACTACAGGCACTCACTACCACATCTGGCTAATTATTTGATTTATTGTAGAGAGGAAGTCTCTCCAAGTTGCCCAAGCTGTTCTCGAACCTGTGGGCTCATGCAGTCTGCTCACCCTGGCCTCCCAAAGTGCTGAGATTACAGGCTTGAGCAACTGAGCCCGGCCTGAAAATTTTTATAATAAAGTGGTGGTTATATAAATATCAGAAAATATAATCAATAAAAAATATGATTCAGTTTGTCATTACTAACGTAAACTTATGCAACGCAAAAGCTACAAAGTGTTAAGTTCCTAAAATTTTAAAGCATTCATATATGAAATCTTCACAATTCCACTGGGAATTAAACACCTAATTTTTTAAAGTGTTAAATTTTAAAATCAAAGCAAACATGTCTCCTGGAACTGGTTCAGTTCTAAAACAGACCACTTTTCTTACAAAATAAATATTTTTAAAATTATAAACATGAGTAAAAGATTTAAACATTAAATAGATTAGTATGGAAGAGATCACAGAGACAAACAAAGCAATGGATTGTGTGATATGAAGAAAAATAAAATTTAAAGGCAGCTAGAAAATGGTAGCTAGAAAATGAAAAATATTCCATAAAAATTTCTAGATGAGATACAACTAAGTGAAACCAAGAATTAAACTCAAAATACAAGAAAGGACAAAAGCTTTTGAACAAGAGAGTCTGCCATTATTCTTATTAGAAAGTGTTAAAATCACTTATCTAGAATGGCACAGAAAAATGTAAGATAAAGACACAGCATTTATATCTGTAGCATTATGATTTTGAAATAGAAATAAAAATAAATATTTACATACCTAATATTATTTTTTAGAATTTTTAAGCAACTGAAGCATTTAAATGTTGTGTGAGTCTTCTGTTCTTCTTGGACATCTCCTTCATGTTTTCCATAATAAAAGTCATTAACTAACATGATCAATTTTCCTTTCTCTGAATCAATAGTCATATTTTTATTTGCTGTGCTTGAAAATTCTGTTTTAGGCAGTCCCAAAAAGTTATTTATCATGTCTGGACAACAATACTGAAAAAGAAAAAAAAAATAGAAGTCTTCACTATTTTTTAAAAAAATACATACCAAAAAGTGATTCTGTGTTTACACCTAAGGCCAGACTATGTAAAACTATGCTTGGTAAAATACGAGGAAAAATAGTCACCAAAAATTTGTGGTGCATCTACATGTTCTTAAAAATTCAAAATATAAGCACCTACTGTCTTAATAAACCTAAAAAATTCAAAATGAAATGAAAAACCCTAAAACCAGGACTTGGTTAGAGATCTAATAGTTTTTCCCTTGTAATTCATTTTTTAGATGTTAATATTTAACAAAAATTTGTTTCTTAAACAAAAATCATTCATTTCATATCTGTGTCAAGATATACTGAAAGGAAATGTAGTTTATATGCCTTGATATATATATTTCATTATCAAGTGATATACAAAATTTCATGAAACCTGGTTAGAACTGGACTTTGAACACAGCTAACCTGCTCAATCCTGTGTTTTGGCTTGCGTAGAGGTTTAAAAAGGGGTGTAGACGATGAACTGAGGTTGGGAAAAATCACATTCCCCAGGTATTTCTTTTATAACTTAAGTACTTCCTAACTGTGTGATTTAGTAACAACATAAGAATATCTGAAAATCTAAACACAACTGTATTTCGTTTCTAAGATAACAACATCCACTTTTCCTGCTACATGTGAAATGTTAGCTCACTGGTCAAACATTCTGTATTACATGGGAAGCTAGGTGTTTGATCCAAGACAGATGTATAACACTTCCTTATGCTCATTTTGATTCACTTGTTAATATTAAAATTTACAAAGGGAAAAAAACACCAAAAAAAGAAAATCTAAAATAGATCCAAAGAGGGAAAGAAGAAAATCTGAATAAAATGAACCCACAAAAAAAGTGACATAACTAACTTCTGTTGCAGACTTAAGGTTGCACCCATAGCAAAATTAGGCTAAATATATTAGTTGTCTAATATAATATGATATTCTGTAGTCTTCCACTCAGAATAAATTACAGTTGAAACTACAACAAAAAAAGGTAGATAAGAAAGGTTTTCTTCTGTATGTTTCTAGATTCTTCATGAGATACTGATAGTATTTAAGAGCTCAAACTTAGGAAAGTCAGACTATTTACAAGGACTTTTTTTGTTGTTGTTGAGTTCGAGTCTCACTCTGTCACCCAGACTGGAGTGCAGTGGCATACTCCCAGCCACCGCAGCCTCAACCTGCTGGGCTCCGGTGATTCTTCCGCCTCAGCCTTTCAAGCAGCTGGAATTACAGGCCTACGCTACCACGCCCGGCTAATTTTTTGATTTATTGTACAGATAAGGGCTTGCCAAGTTGCCCAGGCAAGTCTCGAACCATGGGCTCAGGCAATCCACTCACCTCAGCCTCCCAAAGTGCAGTATTACAGGCTGAGCCACAGAGTCCGGCTTACAAGGATTTTTATAAGGCTAAGTTTGTTCTAAAAAAATTGTATCTTTTACTTTAAAGATAATAGAGAAAAGAATGGTTAAGAGTAAGAAGCTGCAAGACAGGACACACCAAAGTCCTTCCTCTGACCTCACTATGGGGTCTTCCTTAACTTAAAATTTTAAAAATTTTTTAAAAAAGAATGGCCGAGTAAATCCACCAGCACTTTCCAAAAAAATTACTTAAAATTTATGCCTTTCTACTAACAAAGCATATAAGTGGCATCATTTTGATATGACAAATTTTCCCCATATCTGCAGCCTCCCCATAGGGAAGAGTTCAAACACCAACAGGGGAAAATTATAATGCACAAAAATTATATAATATAGAATAGTCTTCCTAATTAGAAATAATCTTATATCCCAGATACTTTCAATAGTAGTTATTATAATCCATATTTGTCACTTGATTCTTTTTTGAAATCTACAAAATAATCTATGGTAGAGTGTGCTGCAAGGCTAATATTCTCCAGAAATGTTTAATTCAGTACATATTACGAGCATCAAGGTTCCCCTAAAATACCCATAAAAAAATAGATGATCAATGACTTGCTGTGCTTCTGTTTTCTTTTTTTAATAGAAAAGATACCTCAGATTTTTAAAAAAATAAACATATAAATCTTATTTATAGTACTTTTTAAACAATATTTCATATCCCTATAAAAGAGCTGAATAAGAAACGACTGACAAACAAGAATGGACAACACCATGTAGTGAATTAGGGTGGAGGATTTAGTAACTGAGAAGAAAGCAAAGTATCTTATGGAAAATATCCAAAGGCAAATAATCAACTAAGAAATAATAAATTACTTTATAATAAAATAAGGTAAACAACAGGAAAATGTAAAGTTCCAACAAAAACACCACAAATATGAGTTAAGTTTTTTGTTTTTTGTTTTTTTGAGTTGGAGTCTCACTCTGTCACCCAAACTGGAGGGCAGTTGCACGTTCCCGGCCACCGCAGCCTCGACCTGCTGTGCTCTGGCGACCCTTCCACCTCAGCCTGTTCAACATGCTAGAAACTCACATCTAAACAAAATTAATTTATAATAAAATAAGATAAATAACAGGAATATGTAAAGTTCCAACAAAAACACCAGAAAAATCACATTCACATGAGTTAAGGTTTTTCTTTCTTTCTTTCTTTCTTTTTTTTTTGAGTTGGAGTCTCACTCTGTCGCCCAGACTGGAGTGCAGAGGCCGCTCCCGGCCACTGCAGCCTCGACCTGCCGGGCTCCGGCGATCCTTCCACCTCAGCCTTCCGAGTAGCTGGAACTACAGGCGCGCGCTACCACGCCCGGCTAATTTTTCTGATTTATTGTAGCCATGAGGTCTCGCCAAGTTGCCCAGGTGGGTTTTGAACCCCCGGGATCAGGTAATTCACTAACCTCGGCCTCCCAAAGCGCAGGATTACAGGCTGAGCCAACGAGCCCGGCTAACAGTTAAAGTTTTATAGAAGGACACAGTAAGCAACAAAGGGCATGGCTAAGCTGTGGTCCAAGAGTAACTGGTCTTCTTTTATTGAGTCCTGGTATCCGTTCAGTTCTAGCCCTTCACTGCAATCCCTGATTTATCCCTTATTTTCCTGGGCTAAGCATTCTGAAAATATTAAAACATACCTTAATGCTATACACTGTAACTTAACAGATATCAGACACCATCCCATTCTACATTCTATTCTCATCTTCACTCCTCCCAGTACACAGACCATGTTCTGGTTACTTTGTCAATGCCCTAAAAATTTAGGTAGGATTTTCAGAGCAAAGGAGGTGGGATCCTATTTTTAAGCAGTAAAATAGGATATCTCATATGAACAGCCTACATCAGTCAACACTTCCCCCTTTTGCTTCTAGGATTTATTCAAAAGCCACAACAACCAAATTCCACAAATTTGACTTACATTGAAAATAAGAACCAGATAAAATTCACAGACTCCATAACATTATGAAAACACTACCCAAAGTAGGCAACATCAGGCAAATGTCATTTAGGTGGAAGTATATCAGAGAAAGGAGACCCAAATGGTAATAGATATGAGGCAGTAAAACCAGATAACCTAAAGGTGAAAGACATATTCTGAATCACAAAGCTATATTTTTTGCAAAAACAGGTGAGAAGCCGAAGCAAGAAAGATGGCAGCAGAGGTACCCCAGAACTGGTTTGATACAGAGAAGCACAAGAGTACAATGCTGGGCAACCCCCTCAGGTCCCCTCCTGCTGTGGGAGCTTTTCTGTCCTCTCAATAAATCCTGCTTTCTTTTAAAAAAAAAAAATGCAATGCTACATACAGGATAAGACACACAGTCACACTTGCAGGAAGCCTTCTGCCCAACAAAGTGTAATGTAAACCAGCTGGCAGGCTGTGAGACTTCCTGGCAACCTATGTGTTCTCCTAAAAGGAACCTTGTGTAAAAAGCTGGCCCAAGAAAATTCAACCTGTTCAACATGATAGAAACTCACATCTAAACAAAATTACTTTATAATAAAATAAGGTAAATAACAGGAAAATGTAAAGTTTCAACAAAAACACCAGAAATATGTTGCCCTGAAGCAGATGCAGATGAAAATAGTGGTCAAAATATTTGCCACAAGTTTTAAAAACATAATGAAGCAGCTGTCTCGTTCAGAAGATCACAAAGCAAGAAAGGATGGCAAGACTATAAGACTTATTTTTTAAAGAGTGGAGAAAAGTTGAAAAAAAAATAAAATCAGATATTTAAAGGCAAATTAGAAAGAAGTACACTACTTTATTTTATTGTGCAATAAAACAAAATAAAGGATACAGAAGTTAGTAATGGGAAGAGCAAATTTAAAAATTTAAGCATTAAAAAGGATTAGAAAGAAAATGACAGATACACCAGGCAACAGAGATCAAACAAATTCATATTGGAAATGCAACTATATGGAATAAATATTTTAAAATACAATTTAAGAACACTGTGCTAAAACAAAGGAAGTCACAAATATACATGCTAAAAGAACATGTGTGCCAGAGAAAACTGACCCAAAATTCCCAGCACCAAGTTATATCATTTTTAAATTATCAGTCTTCAAAACATAAACAATCTTGTAGATAACTGAATAAATCATGTATAAAAGGCAAAATAATTCAGACTTGTCCCAGATTCCTCAATAGCAATATATTACTAGAAAACAGGAGCTATATCATCAAGACCTTCAAAGTGAGATTCAATTTACTTTATATCCGGCCAAATAGTCTTTCCGAAAGAATTACAGTCAAACTGCTTTGGACATGAAAGAACCCACAAAAAGATGTTCCCAGACCCTTCCTAAGGGAAATTACTAGAGGATGAACTTCATCCAAACAGAAAACCCCAAAAAAACCATGATAAAAACACTGGTGATAAATACTGAATATATTTACTGTAAAAAAGATTAAAACGAATATGGACATAAGGTTAAGAAAACTGAATGTAATATATGCCCTGACAATGAAAAATACTACAACCAACAAATAAAAGCTGGGAGGGGGCAAAAGGACAATAAATTTGAGGTCAAGAAAGTTCACAGATTGTCTGCTAACAGTACATCAAGGAATACCATTTAGAGTCACTGAATAAAGCAATATAGGTATAAGCATTTTACTGTCAGGTAAACACTCAGACAATATTGACTAAAGTCAGGTAGCAAAGATGGATGGGTTAAGAATAGGAAGTTTAATGCTACATTAATCATTTCTCATATAAGAGAACAGTAGAGAATGGCCAAAGAAATAGACTACTAGAATTATATAATATTAAAATTATAAAGATAACTAGGAAGAACAAAACAGAAACTCAAACTACATACACATCAAGAGTTACATGGTAAAAGGCTTAAACAAGAAAAAAGAGGTCAGACACGGTGGCTCATGCCTGTAATCCCAGCACTTTTGGAGGCTGAGGTGAGAGGATTGCCTGAGCCCAGAGGTTCAAGATCAAACTGGGCAACTTGGCCAGACCTTGTCTCTACAATAAATAAAAAAAATTAGCTGGGCATGGTGGTGCATGCCTGTAGTTCCGCTACTTGGAAGGCTGAGCAGAAGGATCACCTGAGCCCAGCAGGTTGAGGCTGTGGTGGCCGTGAGCATGGCACTGCCCTCCAGCCTGAGTGACAGAGTGAGGCTCTGACTCAAAAAAAAAAGAAAAAAGAAAAATTAACAAAAAATTGTTAGAGAACTAACACCAAATAAATCTATCTTATTAATACAAACCCACTACTAAAAGAAAAAAGTTTATAGAGGATCACAAAAGAAAAATCAACTTTGCTAAAAGCAAAAGGCACACCTAAAACAGTGATTTATAAGAGATGAAAATAAAAGTATAAACAAAGAATATATCAGGACAATGGAAATCATAAGAATACAAGGGTAGTGAACCAAACATCAAAGCAAAACTTGGGCTAAAAGGCACTAAACATTAAGACCGAGAGATTAAAAAAAACTTCACTAAAATGTTTGCTAAAGAATATATTTATAATACAGTTATAAAAGCTAGATTTTTCTATATCACAAACAACAGCAACAACCTTGAAACAAAATTGCAATATATCAAAGCAGACACTGGTAATAAAAGATATAGATTGAAATGTGTTTCTCAATCCAGGACAGATCAAGTAGATTACATGTAAGTGAAAAAACAGAAATCTAAATAATATAATCATGATGCTACATTTGGGTGATAAATATCAACTTCCATACCCTAAAAGAAATACAATATACCAGTTAAAGGTTTCCACATACTAAACACCCCATACACTTTTCAAAAAGGATTAAAAAGTGGTTTTGGAGTTTGGACTTTACCAATAAAGAGATTGAGATATGAATGCTAGTTATGCTAATTGGCTATACAACAATGTGAAAAAAATCCCTATCTCAAAAAACTTCCTAAGGATTAAATGAAATAATGTATTTAAAGCTTAGTGCTATATCTGACACATGATCTCAGATAAACTGTTCTTATACTTGGAGGATATCTGATATTTTAAATATTTTTCCATTGAAAGAAAATATCATTTCTGTGATATAGTCATCTTCCATTTATCTGTAACAGCAAAATGTCATTCACAAATAATCTAAAAATCACATTATTTTAAGAATGAAAATTATTAATATTAAAACTTTAGCTGATACATAAAAATACATTAAATAGAAAGTAAAAGTCCCCATAAATTTAAATTTTCCCTTCCTGGATTTAGAGACGATTCTTTCAGGTTTCCTTATGATATAAACACATATATTGTTCATATTGCATTCAATTTAGTTCAGTCGTATGTCTTACAGACCATCCCATATCATTATCTATTATGGAGATACCTTCCTTTATAACAATGTTGCAGTATTTTACTATATGAATATTCCATGAAGCTTTGGTTGTTTCCAATACAAGTAATCACAAATAATGCTATAACATTTAAAAGCCACATTTCGGAGAATGCTTGCCAGTCTCTCTGCAGGTGCACAAGTATGTATAATATGTTACAATTTCTGCACAAAACAGAGGGGAAATAAGAACATTCATGTTTACCTGTATATGCAGAAAGAATATCAAGGAGGATATAAAACAAATTAATAAAAAATTATTTTCTTTGAGTCATACTGGGAACCAGGTAAAGAAGAGACAGAGGTAAGATTCTTCACTTGTATACCTTTGCAGGCTTTTAAATTTTGTATCATGTGACTGTATTACCTATTCAAAAAATTAAAATTAAATAGCCTTTTTTCTCTCCATCTATAATGCAAAACATAAAAATATCAGGTATCTTATCAAAACATTACATAAAACAGGAAAATTGAAAGCATTTGTACAGGATAATCCTCATGTAAGACCAAAGCACAAATTGTAGTTGTCTGGGGCTATACTCAGGGAGCTGGAAGTAGTGATAAACCAAATACAGTTTTCATTTTTGTTTTTGTTTTTTTTTTGTCAGGGTCTCACTCTGTCGCCCAGGCTGGACTATAGTAGCATGATCGTGGCTTGCTGCAGCCTCAATCTCCTGTGCCCAAGGAATTCTCCCGCTTCAGTCTACTGAGTGGCTGGAACTACAAGCATATGAAACCATGCCCAGCTAATTTTTTAAATTTTTTGTAGGGACGAGGTCTTGCTAGACCACCTGGACTCAAGTAATCTTTCAACTTTGGCCTCCCAAAATGATGGGATTATAGGCATGAGTCACTACGCCCAGCCCAAATATATTTTTGCACATTAGTTAAAATGTATTGCATTTGAAATTTTATAAAGTTCCCATAATTTCTCTTCCTTTTTCATAAAATGCTGAATTTCAATAAAAAATCTGTCAATCCCTGCAATAGTGGGTAAAGTTTTCCTAAATTACTTCTTTGTCATTATATCCTTTTACTTCCCTCTTTTCCTTGTATGATCTACACTGCCTTTTTTCTTGTCTCTGTTACCCCTTCCTGCCATTTATACTGGGCATGCAAAGAGGGTATAGACTACCTTTACACAGACAGAGCAGGATATTATAATAGGTACTAAAATATTTTAAGTGTCACCTAAATCTTATATTTCATTAGTACTTTGAATTTTTCTTTTTTTCTTTTTTTTTTAAGATGAAGTCTCACTTTGTGACTCAGGCTGCAGTATAATGGCACAATCATGGCCTGCTAATTTGAAAATTTCTTAAAACCTAAATTCAAGAGCACCAATTCCTGCACCAATAAAAAACACAAATTAACTTATAACAATTACGCAAACTATATTCTGGACTGAGTTAAAACAATTAATTTGTATGAAATTCTCCACTATTTAGAATTTATATCTCAGCATTGAAAACTAAAATGTAAAACCCAGATTTTCATGTGTGATATGACATGCACATGATAACGTGGACACAAAAATAAAGTAATAGAATTTTTAAGTTATATGAAAAAATAAACACATAATAAAATGCATGTTTTATAAGTTTGAAGAACATGATCTAGTACATAAAATATTCTAATATATTATTTTTGTTTAAAACTGAAATACAAAAAGCATGTATTATGATGCATATGAACTTAATTTTTAAAATTTGATGATTCTGAAGGAATTTTTAAATCTTATTGAAATATAATCTTAGGAAGGTAAATGTTTACCTAAGTTACATGGAAACACCAATATGAGATTTCTGGACAAACCATTATTATTGTAAATTCATTGTCAATATTTTTAGAGATATAAAAACTTCTTAAAAATTGAATTTTGAGTTTTTACCTTCATGTGATTTTTCAAAGGATCCAAAAGATTGAAATGAATATTGCACTTTGGACAAGCTCTTGGAAAAGGTGCTCCATTTTTAGATTGATTTGATGAGGTATTTGCACCTAAAATAAATTTAGAACACTTATGATTCAGAATTCATCAATTTTTAACCCTAAATGACCACTAATACTTTTTAAATTTACAACAATTTCTAAAATATATGTATAAATATTATAACTTCTTTTCATATACCAGATTTTATATTACCTTTTAATGGCATAGCCTGGGAGGATATCATTGAATGAGATTTAACTGAAGGTAACACAGTCGAAGAATTTGTTCCAGAAGCACTCTCGCTAGGCTTGGGTTTTTTTGGATTAACATTATTTACTTCAGAAGTAGAAGGACGTTTTGATAAAAATGAACTTTCATTCATACCTACAATGATTTAAATAGGGAGAAAAATATAAACACTTTAGAATATCTTATATCTAAGTAAAAATACTCTGGAGCTAAATAAAAGGTAATAAAATTGAGTTACCATATACAAACAACAATGATAATAAAATTGATGTAATCCAGATTCAGAGGTATCAAGAAATTGCCTGTGTGTTTATTGTGGACTACATATATTTAAATAATTTATAAAATAATATTTTTAAGCAAGAAAACTCTAAATATGGTTTCAAATAAAGTTCAGCCAGGTGCAGTGGCTCACACCTATAATCCCAGTACTTTGCGAGGTCATGCCGGGAGCATCGCTTGAGCCCAGGAGTTAAAGACCAGCCTAGACAATATAGCAAGACCTCGTCTCTACAAAAAAAAATTTTTTTAAATTAGCCAAGCGTGGTGATACGCGTCTGTAGTCTCAACTACTCAGGAGGCCAAGGCGGAAGGATTGCCTGAGCCCAGGAGGTGGAGACTGTAGTAAGCCATGATCATTCCACTGTACTCCAGCCTGGGTGACAGAGTGAAAAACTGACTCCAAGAAGAAAAATAAAGGAAAGAAGAAAGAAAGAAATATAAAAACAGTTATTTAAAATGCCAGACCAAAAAATCCCAAGCAAAAAAATTTTTTAAAGACAGAGTATATGCTAAACTAAGTTTCTACAAATGAATTACCTTTAGATACTTAAGTATATTGTCAGCAATAGAGCTTGTAAAAAACAAAACAATAATAATTACATTTCAAAAATTTAGAGAGACACTCAAGATGCTTTTGTATTTAACTACTTGTAATATCTAATGGAAAGTTAGTTGTTTTCCTACCTAACAAACCGAGGAATGGTCTACTCATGACTTTAGGTAATACTACCCATTTTTATTGCTGCATACAAACTGGAAATAACTAATCTTGAATGATAATACTTTACTCATTCACATGAAAAGGCACATAGAAGTAGTTAGTATAATGATTTTCACACTATGATCCCCAGAGCTAAGCAGGTTCATTTTGGGGAATATAATAAGCATGTCTGACAGAGAAATTCTTTTCTGTTTTATTAAGACTTTTACATAAAATTTTGTTTGTATAGGAATTTCATTTTTAAAAATACTTTTCCATTTGAAAATGATTACTTGAAGGCTAGAGAATTTTAGCCATATTTAATGCATTAGCAAGAGAAATGAGGATATCTAGATCAGAATGGATCCTTTTTGAAAATAACATACAACTGTACTTTGTAAAGAAAAAGACTCTAAACCCTGGCATCATATTTTAATGTTCTCAACCATACACTAAAAGAGAAGTGGCAAAATAAATATATTAGGAATTTCCAGGCTTTTAAGTCAGAAAAGGTAAGTACAAATCAGATCTTGTCACTCTCTAGCTATATATTTTTAGTTTATTTAATTTCTCTGACCCTAAGTTTCCTCTTTTGTAAAATAAGTTATTACACCTTATTGGACAGAGCTCTCTAAAGATCAATTAATATATTTAAAGCACCCAACCAAGCATAGAAAGCACTTAATAATAAATGAAAGCTATCATTACTAACAAATATTTTATATCTTAACTTACTTAGGGGAAAATTATTACAACAGAGTCACCTGTCAGATTTTTTTTTTTTTTTTTTTTTG